CAGGCCTTAAATTTGACACTTCTGGGCTAGGATAACCAACTTGGCTTTCCCCTACTGAATCATTTTCAGAGTTTGTTTATATCCAAGTACATATTTACCACATTTCAAAACCAGCTAAAGCCTAAAGTTTATGAGCTCTAAAGACTTTTTTGTCTTCTTAGCGGCCACCATTTTGTTGGCTCACGTCGGCCTGCAGTTGCCATAGAAGTGCTTCCGTATATATATATGCAGAAATTTGGGTCAGATTAATGCAGGATGAATCGGATCACTCTTGGGGAGGGGGGAAGCAAACATACTTAAAAAGAAACGAGGCAATACAAACAACAGTGATACAATGCAACTCTTTTTTTAATTCATTTCTTTAAAAGCATTGGGTAGAGGAATCATTGCAGGCTTACATAACATTTAGGATTATTCAAGCTTTTGTGCTTGGCTGAAGAGTAAAGAGGCAAAATGAAAGCAAGACAAATATTTAAGTAGGTTACAATGATGCACCGATCACCGATCAGAAGAAAACGAGATCTTTTCCATGGAAGATCACCCATCTTGAGGATGGCACTCTCTGATCCATTCAGGTCATCTTCAAACAATGATCTCATCTTCCTCGTAGTGCACAGGCTGTCCCCCCTCACAACCAAGCACAATATTCCTGGACGAAGTGTTAATCCTGTATTCACAAGGAGGGTTAACACGGGATCCTCTTAATTTGCAAGTAGTGACACGAAAATGCTGATGGCTACGCCACAGACCACGATTGTTAGGCTGAACAGGTGGAATAAATGTTCCTTCATTTCCACACACAGCAGCAATTTTCTTCTTTGTGTCGTGGATGAAAGTATTGAATGGCCTGCATCGGGGCCTGGTAATTCCACGTCTTCGCATCATTCCATTACAGTAATTTCCGCGCACATTGCTCCTGGGGTTATCGTAGTGGTGCTCCAGGAACTCTTGATAGGTAGCAGCAAAGGTGCCCAATATCAGGACAGCAGCCAGGACTACGAAGAGCCCAAGGCCAAATCCCTTGAAACACATGATCAGCTCTGCCACAGAAGAAAGGGAGAAGATGCATGAGTATCTCGATTTGGTAACTGTCATTGAAATATCTAGCTCTGAAATGCACCTTTCTGTTTTTTGCCAATATGGAAAATATTTGATATCTAGAAGGCATTAGGGATATATTTTAAATGCACTGAGGTATAATTTAAAGATAATATGTAGAGTCATAAGCATTTAAATCCTTGCAAGAATTCCCAAGAAATATTAGGCAGGGAGGAAATTTTCTTNAATAAAGAAGAGAAGAAGACATTCTTATTTAAAAATTGCTATTAGCATTATTATTATCTTTTACTTAGATTGTGTTCCAAGTCTTCCTCTTCTTCCCCCACCCCTTAAGATCTTTCCAATTGAAAGATCTTGATTGAAAAGGGATTGAAAATCATTTTGGGGTTCATCGTATATCTTTTTCACAAAGTTGAGCCTCTCTAGATAGTCCTATTTCCTGCCCTAAAACAGACCCACGAGGAGATTTTGTTGCCAGCTGTCTTTTGAGAATTGCTTCTGTGGTTTCCTTGAATATGGCTGAGGGCTAGACTAAATGATCTTTGTGGTCCTTTCCAGCTCTCCACGTCTAGCAATTTGAGGCGTCCATCTATCTGTCTGTTTAAATGTTTTAAAAAGCCCATTTAAGAGTGGGGGGGGGGAATAAGCCGGCACTCAGACAGAGACACAAGGTTAATGCAGAGAAGTTTCTCACCTGCCTTTCCCAGCCCACGGTGTCGGGTCAGAGGAAGCTTGGATGCCACTGGCCAAGGCAGCTCTGTGGCTTGAGCTGCTCCAAGATCCCTCTTCGGGGAAACACCTGCTCCGCACTGGGAGGCAAATCTGAGAACGGCCCTTTGCAAATCAGAGCTGTAGAGCACGGCACACTGATTCCCTTAGAATATGTGCCTGAAACACAGGCATAATGCCCCTTCTTTGGGCAAGCACACTCCACTCATTCAATCAATCAGCGTTAGGGCCGGGGGGCTCCCAAAGCTGGGACCAGCCTCTCTCGCCGAAGCTCACTTCGTGCCAGCCTGGCATCGTTCTCTGTGTGGGCATCTGTGCAGGGACCTCGCTGGGCCGGCTGGGGCTCAGCCAACATCCCCGCGTGCTTGGTACTTTTGGGGCAACCTTGGCAGGAAGAGTGGGGCTGGGGGGGGGGAGGCCTCTAAGAATACGTTTCCTTGGAGGGCGATGGGGCCGTGCTCAATGGGGCCCTTGTTTGCTCTGGAGAAGGCTTGGCCAGCGAGGCTCCATCTGTAGAGATAGCGAGCAGAGGAGCAATTCTGATACAGCCTGAGAACAGTTTCGAATAGATGGCTAAGGGAGGGTGGGAGCGTGGGGAGGGGGCTCTCTCTGGAAATTGAAACACTTGAAGGATTGTAAGGTGCCTGCGATTCGGAGTGTCTGAGCATTGGCATGCAGATACACATTAGCAGAGTTGGAAGGGACCTTGTAGGTCATCTAGTCCAACCCCAACCCCGCCCAAGCAGGAGACCCTACACCAGTGATGGCAAACCTTTTGGGCACCGAGTGCTCAAACTGGAATGTGCATTCACATGCACATGTCGGAGTCCCAGAAACCTGAAGACCAGCTTGCCGGCGGATGTATGCCTGTTTTTTGGCCAATTTTGGCCATTACTTGAGGCTGTTTTCAGGCTGTTTTTGGGCTGTTGCCAGCTGCTCTTCTGGTTTACAGCATGCCAGCTGGTCTTTGCGGGCACCGGAGCACCAAAAAACCGCTGGAAAACAGCCCGGAAAATTACCTGGGTTTTTTTGGGCTGTTTTCAGGCTGTTTTTGGGCTGTTGCCAGCTGCTCTTCTGGTTTACNAGGGCCAGCGGCGTCCTTGTGCACGCGCGCGGTGCACGCATGCATACTAGTGTCTGTGCGATGCTCCAGCTGCTCCTGGAGGATCGCGCAGGTGCTGTATGCGTCCTGCGCATGCGTGGAAGCGCAGAACTCGTCAAAACCGGGTAAGGAGCGTGGGCGGGGAGGTGGGCCAGTCGCCATTCCCGGAAGTTACTTACTTCTGGGTTCGCCGACCAACCGGTTCGCAGGGACCGCCGCGAGCCGGTTGAAACCCACCCCTGATCTGAATTATGGTCACGAGACTGTGGAGGTGGGGCCCTGGCCATCAGAACTATAAGTTGCAATGATCTGTTATAATATCGAGCAGTCACTAAGCACCTGGTCATAACTGGAGGACTACAGGTACTCTTCAAGTTACGACCACGATTGAGCCCTAAGTAAAACATTTGTTCACTGAATTTGCCCCCTTTTAAGATTTTTCGTGCCACAGTTGTTAAGTGAAACACTGCGTCTATTAATTTAGTAACATGGTTGTTAAGTGAATCTGGATTCCCCACTCACTTTGCTTGTCAGAAGGTTGCAAAAGGTGATCACATGACCTAAGGACACTGCAACCTTCATAAATATGAACCCCTTGCCAAGCATCTGAAATTTGATCATGGGGGGATGCTGCAACGGTCGTAAAGTGTGAAAAGCTCACTTTTATAACTCGCTTTTTTCAGTGCCGTTGTAACTTTGAACGGCCAACTAAATGAACTGTTGTACGTCGAGGACTTCCTGTACTTGTATATATCATGATATTTCAAATCACGGTTAATCCAAATAAGTGGTGTAGTGTGATTTTGAATCTGCCTTAGTACTTCTTTTCTATTCCAATTTCTCCATCTGTTCTTTAGCCTAGAAAGAGTTTGCCTGTGGCACACACTGGATCTGTCACTGCCGTCCATCAAATATTTTCTTTGATGGTGCAAAATAGAGAAAGGATCACCTGATGTCCTACTTTCCATCTCGATTCTACTGCAGTGATGTACGTGAAAGAGTCAGGGCTGAAATAGCCATAGGCCAATCCATTACTCTCCACATTAATTACCCCCAGGACTATTACCAGTGGCTCAGGAAATTTCAATTTATTTTGAGGTCAGTCCTTGTTCATCTCTCTCTCACGCTCACTGATTTGCCTGCATTTTATCTTTTGCCAGTTAATTTTTTTTAAAAAAATCTTTGTCGATGTTTTATAAATAACCCTCAAGCTCTATTTTGGCTCACTGAACTGAGCGCGCACGCGCTCACTTTGATCCGAACGTAGAGATCGACTGGGTGTGCGCTGGGGGCAAACTAGATTGGAAATCACCCGTAGTAATTTTCCAAGACAGCCACTCAGTTGCAGCCAAATCCCAGGGGAAATTATACAGCCAAGTATTCTCCTAGATTGGGTGCGCTAGCTTTAACACGGAGCAAAACTGTTCACAGAGAGCCCTCGATTTACAACCACAATTGGGATGAGAATTTCCTTTACTGAGCAGAGTGGTTATTCCATTTAACGTTTTATTGAGTTATAAGATAAGATACGAAGTACAAAACGGGGGGGGGGGGGAGACGTGAGGAAGGCTTGAGAAAAAGAAGCGTCGACTTCCGACTCCCTCTGTTGTTGTAAAATAAAACATTAACAACAAACCACAACTTTTTTGTTTTTTCGTGATAATATAAACAAGCCATTTATATAAAGATCTATCAAACTAATCAGTAAAGCAAGGTGGTTATTAAGTAAATTGTGCCCAATTGTTATGACTGTTTTTTTTTTGCCACAGTTGTTAAGCACATTCCTGAAGCTGTTAAGCGAATGATGAGGTCATTAAGCGAATCCAGCTTTCCCCATTAACTTTACCTTTCAGCAGCTGGCTGGGAAGGTCAGAAATGGCAATCACATGACCCCGGGATGCTGCAACCATCGTAAATGCATGCTGGTTGCCAAGCACCCAAATTTTGATCATTTGACTGTGGGGATGCAGCGACGGTCATAAGTGTGAGGAAGAGTCCCTGCGGATTTTGCTCCGCTGGTCGTTGTGGACTTTAGGGGGCAGTGCTCATCTCCTTTTCAAAGCCATCGCTGTCCAAAGACATTTCTGTGGTCATGTGTCCATCAGAAAGGACTGTTACTTTATGAGACAAGGTCAAAAATCACTTTTTTTTCAGAGCCATTGTAACTTCGAACAGTCACTAAATGAGTGGTTGTAAAACGAGGATCACTTGTAATGGGGTCAGAGAAAATTCCAGGACCTGCCAGAAGAGGGACTCTCGATCTGGTGGGAAATTTATTCTGCATTTCTAGTTTTTATTGAAGGGACAGCTGGTTGTCAGGGACTGAGGGGAGAAAATATTCACCCACGCATTTTGAGATCCTGCTCTCTCAATCTGCCCTGTGCAACTACAATAAAAATATTGTGCACATTAGTATATATACTGTATGAGTAGAGTGTCAATAGATTTTAGATATTTTGAGGACAGTTGGATAAACAGATGATCTGCACCATCCCTAACCCTCGCAGACGAGGATTCACAGAAATTGTATTCTATCTCCTGTAGAAGAGCAATTCTTAACCTCAGCAATTTTAAGATGTGTGGACTTCAACTCCCAGAATTCCCCACCAGAGGAATTCTGGGAGTTGAAGTCCATATATCTTAAAGCTTTTGAGGCTGAGAAACAGTTCTGAGGACTCCCAAGCTGCCTTTTTCATCTTTACTTCTTTTTTCTCTGCATCTCTCCCTATCTTTCGGCACCAATTTTGGGGGGGGGACTTTTTGTTTTCTTTTCCCCCAGTTGTTATATTTTACTCAGCAAGTTTTTATATATTGTGATTTTCTCCAGCTCTTTCTCCCCTATTCTGCTATCCCCAGCTAGTGTATTATGCAAAAAGTAATATACATGTTGCACAGAATATGATCTACATATGGAAATGTTATGACTAGTTGTTTTTCCCCCCTAACTACTTGTATAAGGATTAT